CACTGTGCAGCCTGTGAACTGTCAAGCATATTACACCACACCCATGCCCAGCGCCAACGGACAGCGTCATGATGACACTAAGATTCCTCAGCCTCATTGGGGACTCCAGAGCCCAGCCACCTTTTACACTATACTTGCCAATTCAGCAAGCAGTGAGCTGTGAAGCCACAAGTAACCCCAGCCTCCAAAAATAAACAAACCAAATGGAGGCAGTGACAGACCTATTGTTTAAATGTTAGTTCTGAAAAAACAAAACAAAAAACCCCATCAGTTGTCCTGTCTTCCCTCTTCCTTTTAATCTAATATCCTTAGTGATTTGGAGAAGAAAAATATCAAAATTTCAACCATGTGTGAAATCACGGGCTTTGTTTTTCTTTAGAGTTGTCTATTGTTTCTAAATTTTCTACATTGGTGTGGATTACTTTTATAGATTATAAATAAGCAACGAAAATATTTTTATTGTAAATAACTTTTCTAGAGAAAGAGAAGCTAATTATGATAGCTAAATTACTGGACTCTCCAATGGTAGTGTTATGTACAGTCACGCGCCATTGATGACAGGGTCTTCATTCTGAGAAATGTGTCATGAGTAGATTGATTTTGTTGGGTGCACATTACAGAATGCACTTCACAAACCTAGATGGGATACGTCAATCACTTGCTGCGGCCTCGTGATGCAAATTTATGAGGCTGCCGCTGGCCTAACACGGCAGGCCATCTTACAGTAGATTATTTTTTAGGAAGTAAGAGGGAGTGTACTCTTAAAAAAGAATGGTAAACAGTATAATACAATGGTACTCCAGAAAGCACATAATCAGGGGCAGGCAAATTCAGCCCACAAAGTAAAATGTCAGTTAAGAAACTGACAACCCACTGGCAGGGCCCCTGTCGCTTGGCCTGGGTCCTTAACCTACCTGCACGATGCGTGTTGGATCCATGAATTCCAGGGGGGTGATCTGGCAGGGCCTGAGTAGCCTGACCTGATTATTTTGGCCCATCTGCAAAAACGCATCCTGCTCAGTGGGAAAGACAGAGCAGTGGTCACCTGGCCCAGATGCTCATGGAAGATAGGGCAGCTCATTGAGGCCTACAGAGGACATCTGTACCATCCCAGAGGAAGGAGAGCAGAACAAACTGGACAACTACCCAGCCAAATGATGACAGCAAATATCTGGGTGAATGGAGATGCTAAGGCCGACTATGTCAGCCAATGGGGATTGAAAGGGTTCCCTCATCCTTGGATCAGCAAGACTGAGAACGTCTCAGAACTATCAAGCTCACCTGGGCAGAACACTCAGCACGTGTGCCACATCAGGACCCTAGATTGATATTGGGTGGCCATTCTCCTTGCAACTGGAACGGTTGCAAGGTTTGGTATGGCTTCTCCCCATATCTTTTCCCTCTCTCCGCAGAAACAGGAAGAAGAAATAGAAAATTTATAAACACTGATCACACCTACTTTTCACTAACCCTTGATCTTTCCCACTCTGATTAACTATATCAGAGTGTTAATATCATCTAAAATTAATATATATACATACACATATACATACATATAAAAAGAAATTAATTGATACTCCAGAGGGCTGATGCTGTGGCACAGGGGTTAAGCCACCACTTGCAACACCATCATCCAATACAGGCCCCTACTCAAAGCCTGGCCACTCCAATTCTGACCCAGCTCCCTGCTGTTGCATCTTGGGAAGCAGCAGAGGATGGCCCAGTCCTTGGGCCCTGCAATCACAAGAGCAGACACAGATGGAGGTCTAGCTTCATGGCTTTCGTGTAGCACAGGCCCAGTCACGTGGCCATCTGGGCAATGAAACAGTGGATGGAAGGACTGTATGTGACACTGCATTGCAAAAAGGAAAGAAAGCAGAGAGGAAGAAACCCACAGGATCCCTGAGACATCTAGCTCCAGCAGCTCGAACTCTTCTAGTCTTTCACTGGGGAGCAGTCTTCTGTCAGTCAGTCCAGCAGCCCCACAGACTAAGTCAGCTCCAGATACCAACTAAGTGAAAAAAAATTTTTTCCCACTTAAGAACTCACTGTAATTAACCCTGATAGAATTTAGAGTGTATTTAAAACTTTCTGAATCATAGTTGTTCTGCTAAAGAGATGGTGTTGAGAGGCTCAAGGCAATGGCTCAATGGCCAAATCCTCACCTTGCAAGAACCAGGATCCCAAATGGGTACCGCTTCATGTCCTGGATGATCTACTTCCCATCCAGCTCCCTGCTTGTGGGCTGGGAAAGCAGTAGGGGACGGCCCAAAGCCTTGGGACCCTGCACCCACGTGGGGGATTCAGAAGGAATCAAAGCAGAGCAGTGGACAGGAGGCTGGTCTTTAAGGAGCTGGCTTCAGATCAGCTCAGCTCCAACTACTGCGGCCATTTGGGGAGCAAACCAGCAGATAGAAGATCTTTTTCTTTCTCTCCTCCTCTCTGTAAATCTGATCTGCTTTCCAATAAAACTAAATCTTACAAAAAAAAAAAGAGAGAGAGATGGTGGTGAGGACTGACTCCCCAGCCATAGGGTGTGGGCAGGTTCAAAGTCAGATGCTGCTTTCAATGAGCACCATGACCTAACTTGGCCTGCCTCTGCTTCTGTGTCCTTACCTGTAAAACGGAACAAGAGTCCCTCACACTCAAGGAGAGATGGAGTATGTCCGTAAATTAATTCCTCCCAACAGTGTCCACTACACAGGAAGTTCTTAACGTTAGCTGGCACTCTTGCTACCCTCTTCATGTGAACTGTCACTCATCCTCAGGCTGACAGCAAGAGCCATCACTCCTCCTAAAGCTAAGATTCACGAACTCAAGAATAACTGGGTGGCAACGTGTTCCCTCTCTCCACCACGGCATCACAAAACCTTCGATGCACACTAGCCAAGTAAACACGCTTGGATTAAAACAAGTGAGAATGACGGACAGGAGGCTGGTCTTTAAGCAAAAAGCTGACGCTGCCGATGGGAAAAGCAGCTTGAGGTCACCGTTGTTTAGCCTCAGGGTTTGCCCCCGAAGGAGAGGTCCCTTGTGGTGATTCACCACTGTCCAGGCCTCGCAGAAAGTCTCCTTAAAGACCCCATTGAAGCTGTGATCCTGGACACAAGCCTCCATGAACAGCGCCTAGCACAAGTGGAAATTAGCCAGCTTTCAGGAGCCCGCCCTCCCCACCAACTTTAAAAATGCCACACATTCAATGTCTTTAATGCCCATCAGTAAGCTAAGTGCTTTGCATATATTATTCTATTAAATCCTTGGCCAAGTCAACCAGAGGCCTAATTAACAATATATTTTTATATTCTAATACATCTTCGGAAGAACTGTTTTCAAAAACAGGCAGATGTTAAGCAGATTGTTAAAACTGCTTCTAAGGACTGGTACACATTTCTTTTTAGAAATCTGATGGAACATTCCATGATAATATAAACCGGATAGCAATTTAACTGCCTATGGATAGAAATGACAGAGTTGTTAAAATCTGTAAATAAGGATCAAGTCATTTTTTTCTAAGCTTAAAGGCCAAATGGCATGTGGCTGCTCAAGTGCTTACGCCCAGAGCTTTGTGCTGGCATCAACGTGAGCTTCGAATAAGTGGCTTTAATAAAAACGGAGAGAATAACTATTACCTCTATTATTTGTCAAGAATGGCTGAATCCAAGCAAATAAACTTCCTCTAAGATTTCCCAGTCGATAAAATGAGGAGTGCCCCACTTACAAAGCATCTGTGAAAGCTAAGCAGGAACGCCAACAGAACAAGCATCAGCCACAACTTGAGTGAAACACTGGCCTTGAACTTGGTCAAGTGTGGCAGTTTTTCTTGACAAATCTCTTCCTTGCCCTTGCCTTAAGCTTAGTTTAGCCTCCCGTGCCAGCTGCATGCCAGACTGGGTCAGATGTTCCAGACTCCACTGACCATGTGGCAAAAGCATTTTCGTTCCCAGAAATTTTTCTCTAAAAAGTCAATCATCTATAAGTCTCAAAAGAAATGTGAACAATTCAATTAATTTTCCAGATCATTTATAAGCCAGCAGTCAAGACCAGTGTATAAAGAGAGAAAAATTTTCTTAGCGCTTAAAAACAATAAAATTCCTTCAGAATGTTTACGTTGAGGGAGAAAAGGAGCTAAGAGAGATCTAAACTTTAAGGACTGAAGTTTAAGGCCATGCCATTGCAGATGACACGTTCGATCTTAAAAAGCCAAGCGTTAGCCAGCTTAGTTGCATTATTTTTCAAATCATTAAAAGCTATTTCTGAGCTTTCTGGATTTAAACAGCTTTAATTTATTGTGACAAAGCAGGTAAAAGATCTGAACAGATCCTTGACAACAAATGTCCAATAAGCTCGTAAAAAAATATCCTGAATTATGGAGTCATCAATGTAATGCCAATTAAAGCCACCATGTGATACAAATACACATCATTAACCATGGCTAAAATGCCAAAGGCAATGTCTCAGGCTGGCAAGGAGCAGAGAAGTGACCTGCTCATCCACGGCTGGCATGAATGCCACAGGAAACAAATTTTGGACCTGTCTGGCAGTTTCTCATCATGTTAAATACACAGTCCTGTAACACGCAACATGGATGAATCTCAAAGACCAAGCAAAAAAAAAAAAAAAAAACCTAGTCACCAAAGAGGATGTAATATAGTCTTCCATTTATATAAAACTCCTAGAAGAGAGCTGTGCCCTGCAGGGACAGGAAACATCTGTGGGTACCTGGAGCCAACGCCCCCAGCAGGAGCAAGGGAGAGGCTAGCCCTGGTCCTACTGTGCACAACCCACTGCATGCGGGCATTCATTATCTGCGCGTTATCCTTTATTGAAGTTCATTAACCAGGTTCTCCACGTAACTGCGTTCTGCGCCGAGTGAGGCTTGACTACATGGGTTTGCATGGGCCAGTTGTGAGCCAGGCTGGCATCTGCACGTGGCCCCCACGGCCATGGGGCCCTGCCAGGGAAACGGCGCCGTCTGCTGCAGAAGCCCCCCCAGGACTCACCGGTCAGGGCTCCCCCCAGACTCCCTCGCCGCAGCTGCCGGCCATCCTCACTCAGCTGCCGTTTGTACTTCAGGGACTTGGCGGGGCCAGAAGCCACATCTGGGTTGCTGCATTTCCGAAACGGCATGGGTGGCGGTGACAAGATGTGGTCAAGCTGCAGAGAGAAGGACAGTAGCGTCATTTCATTGTGAATGGGCAACATAACTCCAAATGTGGGCCAGCCCTCCTCCCCCGCCCCCCCCCATGTCATCTTGCTTTTCCTCCAACCCTGTCTTCAATTTGGCTAGCTTAGAGTGTTCAGGATTTCATTGCTGTGTCTTCCACCTGCCAGGTCACCACACACTAGAAGGTGATAAAATCATGCTCAACAAATTGTGACCACTATTTTTTTTTTAATGTACCAGAACAGACATGAATGCAGTGAAAAAGAGAAAAGTTCTTCTGTTTCATGACATGTTTTAATCAGCTACCCGTGCATGTCTGTCTTAGGTCACTGCATAGAATATGTCATATGATGAGCACTGGCCTAGCAGTTAACACGACACTCGGGACACCCAAGCCGCTGCATCCAAACCCTGCTTCTGGTCCCAACACAAGTTTCTTGCTGATGCCAATCCTGGCAGGCGACAGGACATGGCTTGAGCAGCTGGGTCCTTGCCACCCGTTTAGGAGTTGTACATGGAACAGCCAGCTCCTGGATTTGGCGCGACGCGTCCCTGGCTATTGAGAGGGAATGAAACTGCAGACGGTAAACTCCTTTTTTTCTCTCCCTCCAGATCAAGTAACCTATCTAAATACAATTTAAGATGGTCCAGACCCCAAAATGGAAGACGGGTGCTTTATGGAGAAGTAACTTCTTTAGTTCATCACGAAAGCAAATTCACAGACGGCTCACACATACACATCCACGAGAGAAATTCCCAAAGACCACAGCCCTTAATGGAAATCAATACATCCCTACATGACTTCATAGCTTTTTAAAAGAAAACCTGTCACAAGAAGCAGAGAAACCACAGTCACTTCAAGAGACAGCTTCTTACAAAAGGATCCCTGTGCACAACACTTATTTCAAGATCCGGTCTGCTTTTATAAGAAAACCTTTCAAGCTTGAATTGTGCCACACCTTCTAAAATGCTCTGCTTCAAGTAGACACGTTGCATGCATTCCAGATAGATAATTAGGACAAAACACAGCTGTGCACACATGTACACATACACATAGCTGTGTATGCATGCAGATGTATACATGTATGTCAGCCATGTGTACATATAACTATCAAGAATGAAAAAAGGATAAATATCAGACATTCAAGGGAATTCCCATTTCACAGAAAAGGGCCAATTTCATAGCAATTAAAAGAAATAAAGATGTGGACAATTGCATAAAGCCAGGCATTTTATTTTTAAATAATTTTCCTTTAAAAATTTATTATTTATTATTTCTTTTTATTGGAAAGGCAGATTCACAGAGAGAAGTAGAGACAGAGAGAAAGGTCCTCCACCTGCTGATTCACTCCCCAAGTGGCTGCAATGGCTGGAGCCAGGGCAATCCAAAGCCAGGAGCTTCCCACACAGGCGCAGCACCCCAAGACTTTCAGCCGTCCTCCACTGTCCTCCCAGGCCACAAGGAGGGTGTTAGATGGGAAACAGAGCAGCAGGGACATGAATCGGTGCCCACATAGGATCCTGGAGGATGCAAGGTGAGGACTTCAGCCACTAGGCAATTTTAAGAGATGATTAACTGAGATTCGTTTTATTTCCATGAGACAAAAGGAACTCAGTGGGTGGTAACTGTCTGAATCTTTTCCAAGATGACCCTGGATCTACTTCCGGCAAGAAGAGGTCTGGGATGAGGCCATTCACCCACTTGTGTTTGCACAGCATGCTTAACACTACTGCACATGGGCAGGCCCGTGGCCTGACACTGCAGCTGTCACAGCACCTGGCTCCAAATCTCCCACATGGGTGCAGGGGCCCAAGGACATGAGCAAATTCCAGCTCCCCGTTCGTGCAACCTTGGCAGATCTGTGGCAACAGCTCAAGGAATTATTTCCTGTGACACTGGTAGGTGGGAGACCTGGATTGAGCTCCCAGCCCTAGCAGGAGCTCCAACCCCAGCCCAGGCCCAGCCCAGCCCCAGCCCCAGCCCCAGCCCCAGCCCAGCCCAGCCCCAGCCCAGCCCCAGCCCAGCCCCAGCCCGAGCTCCAGCCCAGCCCCAGCCACAGCCCAGCCCCAGCCCCAGCCCAGCCCCAGCCCCAGCCCCAGCCACAGCCCTGTCCAGCCCCAGCCCCAGCCCAGCCCCAGCCCAGCCCCAGCCCAGCCCCAGCCCCAGCCCAGCCCAGCCCAGCCCCAGCCCCAGCCCCAGCCCAGCCCAGCTCAGCCCCAGCCCCAGCCCCAGCCCCAGCCCTGGCTGTTGCAGCATTCAAGGAATCCAGAATCTGCTCTTGGGGGCCTGTGAAGGTGTTTGTCTGGGATTTCATCCATCTACCTCTCAAATATATAAAGGAGAGAAATTCTGTTTGGAAAAAAAATGTAAACCACAAACTTGGTCCTGCTTATGAACAGTCTCTCCCCAGGGTGGCAAGTCACAGCTCCCACAGAGAGTGGCACGTATGGGAAGGTGTCCGCGCAGGGGCCCGCTCACTCATCCGTGCCCAAGCGGGCGGGGTCGGCGGACAGCATTGTCTAGCTTCAGATCCGGGAGCAACGAGGCCAGGGAAGCCCAGCCACTCTGCACCAGCCTGGGCCATGGTCCAGCTGTCAGCAAACCATCATGCAACACTGTCATTTTGGCTTCCTCCTTAGATTTCATTTGAGGCCATCACTGCAATTAGTTTTTTTCTGCCCCCTTTCTTTTACTTTGAGAAATAAGACAGTTAGGAGAACAGTACAATGAACGCCCATCCCTCCTTTCCAAGGGTGAAGTTTTGACCTTGTGACATCGCTTTTGCTCGCTCCCTCTGCACACATGCGCATAGCATGCACCTATACAGTGACCGTGACTAACAGTCAACACACCATGCATCTTTGTCCCTAAATATTTCAAATGGAAAGGACAGAAATAGTCACTTTGAGTCTCTTGTGCTGTATCTCACACATTCTCACAAGAGGTCTCCAATCTTGCATGGTCAAGATGAAGTATAAATACCAGGACTGATGTGGCACCAGGCTATGTAGCATGTGTGGACTTAACGAAAAATTTCCTGTTTCAACATTTCAGGGAAATGCGCAGCCAGCCACTAGGTGGCAGTGTGTCACAGTCGGTCAAATGGTTCCTCCCAAACTCCAGGTCCTTGAAAGGCACCCAGAACGGCTGACCGCCCCCAGCGCCATCAGGCGAGTTAGGGTCCATTCTACTCAGTGATTTGCTCTTAATTACTAGTGGCAGCTGCATAAAATATAAATATTTACTGTTTAAGGTTCATCAGCTTCTCTACTTATTTTTCATTCAGCTTGAAGAATTGCAATTAATTACTCTGGGGAAGACGGTTCTATCACAAATTAACATAGGATAGGAAAATAAGTAGGAAAAAAAAAGATAATTCCTAAGTAGGAATTCTGTGACTTCCTTACATATTTCAACAAAGACATGAAACAAACATGGGAAGAAAAAAGGGAAATCAGGAGGGAAAAAAAAATTTCCTCACTGACACAGCCTGGGTTTTAATCAGAGTCACTACCCCAAGAGTGGAGTATTATTTTAAATCTGGGCAAACTGTGGCAGTGAGCTGTGAGGGCTGCAAATGTTTCCAACACAATATGAGTTACATCATGCAAGGCTCCAAGATCCTATTTCTACGTTCCCATCAAATCATACTCCCTATAGGGCTTTCTCTAAATCGATCATTTTTCAAAGTTTGCTGTGCTGTCAGTGGCTTAACTATTCTTTCTACAATTAGTCAAAGCTGCTCAAACGCTCTGCTGTGGCCTTGCAATTTATTTTCCATTTTTTTGGTCCTGGTTCAAACGCTCAGGATCTCTTTAAAAACACTTCATCACACCCTCGTGCTTAAGAGCAGACATCAGATATGGCACTGTGGACATTGCCCTTGAAATAACTTCAGTATTATGTTTGTCAACTTTTCCGAACTCTCAAAGTTGTCCTGTGATAAGGAAGCTAAGGGCAGAGGCTGTCTTCAAACTTCCACTGGAGTCCACAGGCAGCTGAACCTGGGCTTGTTACACTTGCGTCAAATGCTTGTAATTCCCCGCCCTGGGCAAACAGTAGGCGTCCAATCGTACCCTCCTCTTGCCCAGCACTGAGCCAGCCACAGAGCACCCTGACTAAGCTAGGAGAGCACCCAGCACTGAGCCAGCCACAGAGCACCCTGACTGAGCTAGGAGAGCACCCAGCACTGAGCCAGCCACAGAGCACCCTGACTGAGCTAGGAGAGCACCCTGACTAATCTAGCCACAGAGCACCCAGCACCGAGCTAGCCACAGAGCACCCTGGACCAAAACAGGCTCTCCAGCCATCCATCCCCATTGCATTCACTGGTAATATGGATTGATTCTGGTGGCTGTGCTTGCTCAAAACATCGCATCACTCTTCAGGAGGTGCATTTGGAAGTCTGATGGGGGCGCAGCCGACCAGCAACATGTGAGGGCTATGTAATCCCTCCTGCTAGCTGGCTATTCCCAAGTCAGCATCTTAAGGAACAAAAGGTACACAACCAAGATGAATCCAGTGCAGCTTTTGGGGACAGTGTCCACAATGACCAGTCCTAAAGAGGTGCTGATCCTCTCCGGGGCAGATGATGGAACGTCACAGGTGCGTTTCTGGATTTACCACCCCTTCCTTGTGGATGCTATTGCACGGCGAACAAGGGAAGAATCCGCTAGCATTACATCGTGGCTCCTGCCAATGAGGAGGGATCACTGCCACTGCACGCAGACCACAGCCCTCCACCCACGCGCGTCTACCAGGCAGACTGCAACTGGCAACACCAAACTGTCAGTCCTCTCTCCCCTGACCATCTTCTTCAACTTGATCTCTAGACACCCTCAAGGCCAGACCCAGTTTCTAAACATTAATAACACTTGTATGACGAGAAGCAGAAAGGTTTTCCTGACTTCAGAAAATGGTAACTGCTTTTGTCTAGGGACTCAGGTCACAAATCTTACCGTTACCCTCTCTCTCTCTCTCTCTCTCTCT